AAAAAAATTGATGCTCCACAAGAGCAAGAAGACAAAATTAATATTTAAGCTTAAACACTAATCTAAGAAGGTAAAAAAAAATTAATGCCACACTCAATCAATTATAAAGAGATCATAGAATTGAAGAGCTAGAATGCAAAACTAAAAAATTAGGTTCAATGGCACCTTGCTAAATGATTAAACAAAAAAATAGAAATTGAATAAAATATCAATACACCTTGCTATTAGTGCAACTATACTCTTAACAATGCATCCATGCCACCAAGAAGAACAACGCCTAGTTGATAAGAGTCTAATGATCTAAAATGCCAACATAATAGAAAGTTGTTGTTAAATGTTGCAAATCCCCTCTCACCAAACTAGACTATTGAAGAAGATGAGAAAGAAGAAGTTCACAATATGCTGCCACAAAAATGAAGGAATTAGAGCTTCTCTTGTAGCTGAGCACCAAATATCTAGGCAAATTTGCAATGCTTTGATTGTAAGTACTACTATGGCAATTAACTATGATTGATAGTAGCTATAACTTAAGTGTAATCTTCACAATTGATTGCACACTACTAAACTTATATCTTGTTTTAGCTCACTTAATTGCTACAAATTACACAAAAGAAAGAGAAGACCTTCTACAATCACCATGAACCTTAGAAATTCAAAAGAAAATGCACACCAAAAAATGAAAAAATACACTGAAAGATGCTTCTTACAATCAAAAAGTCTACAATGCTTGTCAAAAAAAAATCAAAAAACAAAAGAGACAAAGATCTAAGTGACTCAATTCCTATCAATGAAGAAGATGCTACCATTCTTAGATAGCCTCTTGCCTTTTTCATCACCTTCTCCTATTTTTTTCTTTCTCATCTTCTTTCTCTTCTTCTTCTTTTTTTCTTTTGCTCCTTCTTTTGATTTCTTTTTCTTCTAATATTCTTTTGTGCTTTTCTTTTCTCTCCTTACTTTCAACCTTTTTCTCTTCTCTTCTATTATTCTCATTCTATTTTATTTGTCTAAAGCTACCAATGTATTTTTTTTCTTTTTTTTTTCTTTTTTTTTAAAATTATTTTAGATCAAGGATCTCATTTACATTACAACCCAATTAAACACATAATAGAAATAATAATACCATTAAAAAATCATATATTTTTATTGAATAATCTAAAGAAAAGATATATAATTTAAAATCCCTTTTAAAAAAAATTCTATAAGAGATCCATTTTTGTAATTGACATTCTATTTTTTATTTATTTTTCTATTTATCTCAAAACTTTTATACTAATTTACTAAACTAGTGACTTTATGTACCATAAGTGCATTTTTTGTACTAAAATATACTAGTGAATCAATTCTATGATTCACATATATGCAAGTGGCTATTCATATGAGCTAGTGTTAGAGCAGAGAAGTGGCCAACTTCTACAACCTATAGGATATGAAGGCCTCTATGGCTTTTAATCTAAATTCTTCTCTTTGAAGGAAAATCACATAACACTAACTTTTAGATTTTTTACATCCAAGCATTTTATTTTTCTTCTCTTTTCTATTGTTCTACCTATCTTATTCTATCTCTTTTTTAATTCTATAGAATTATTTCACCTTGCTTTAGTAAGTAGACTATTTTCTTCAAAGTTTTCTATCTCAAGAAAAGAAGCATTAAAATAACAGGAGTGAAACTATTACTAATTACTATTTTTATATGAGCATTTTACTTTGGTACTTTAGCACTACTTCTTCTAGTCTTGATAGAATATTAAAACTACAATGCCTAACATTAGATAAGGACTTGCCAAGTAGCAAGAGCATTTGGATTCTCTATCTCTTCAAGTTATCCTAGATGGTCATTATATGTAAGTCACAAAATTGACTCATTGATGTGTTTTAGTACAAGATATGTACTTATGGTATTTAAAGTCACTATTTTAGTAAGCTAGTGTATGAGTTTTGAAATAAATAAAAAATAATTTAAAATAAATAAATAAATAAATAATATTAGTTGTAAGAATTGATCTCTTATATAATTTTTTTTGAAAAGGGATTTTAAATTATATATCTTTTCTTCAAATTAGCCAATAGAAATTTATGATTTTTTAATAATAATCTTATCTCCATTAAATGTTTAATTGGGCTAGAATTTAAATGGGATCCTTGATCCAAAACAATCCAAAAAGAAAAAGAAAAAAGAAAAAAAAAAAAAAAAAAAAAAAAAAAAAACCCCCTTAATAGCTTTAAACAAATAAAATAGAAGGGAAACAATAGAATAGAAGAAAAAAAGGTTGAGAGTAGGGAAAGAAAATAAAAGCAGAAAAGAAGAGTATGGGAGAAGAAAAATAAATAAATAAATAAATAAATAAATGAAAGGAATGAAGGAAAAAATAAAGGAAAAAATAAAATAAAATAAAAGGGCAATCAAGAGGGCGAGAGGCAGCTCTTGAATGGAGGCAGCCTCCTCGTCGAAAGGGGTCCGGGTTGCCTCACACCCAGCTCTCTCCATTCTGTTTCTGTTTTTTTTTTTCTTGAAGCGTCTCGACTCCAGGTATTTCGAGAGATTTTTTTGTATTATTTATGGTTGCGGTGCACAGCAGAGACTCTTCCTCCTGAGGTGAAGTGGTGCCGCGGCGGTCAATCTCTTTTCTATTTTGTTCGTACTGTTGCAAAGCTCTGCACTTAGGTAGAATCATTTTTTTTTCCTCGCTCGATAAGCCGTTGGAGGAATTCCAAGTTTTTTTGGAAATGCGTAGGGGGTTCTTCCTGTTGTTCTATATGTGGCTTTCTTCTAGAGATTCAACTGCGAGAAGGTGCGGCGTAACTGAAATTGCGGCACTGGCTGTGGTGAGCGGGAAGCAAAATCATGAGCTATTGTTGCGTAGTCCGAAGGAAGCCTCTTGATGCGATTTCAGCCCCACAGTCAATGCCATCCCATTGTTGAATCCTACTGCCACCATTTGTTTCTGGAACTTCTATAGCCCTTGCATGATGTGTGCATGGAGTTTACTGATTTCTGGTACCTGCATTATTTTGGGATTAAAAAAATAAAATAAAATAAAATAAAGAAAGAAAGAAAAAGAGAGTCAACCCAATGGTGCAGCGGTCTCAGCGACGTGCCTGCTTTTTTCTTAGTTCCAACTTGATTTGCAAGTAGTCTTCGTAGTGTTCGTGGTTGATCAGATTATTCTCTACACAGCGATGCTGCAAGCTTCTTGTTGCCATTGTGGTCAACGGCGCTGGTCTTTTTTGCGTACATTATTCCTTTTGCAGACCAACGACGGCACAGCTTGAATGGATTGATGGCTTGGAGATGGATGAAGAGTACGTCACATGAACCTTGTAAAAATTGGCCTTGCTGCAGTCGCTCTGCTTGATCAATCAAAGCAAGGGTCTTGGCATGAGACCTTGTTGTGAAGAAACAGACTCCTCACGGTGTGGAACCGCCTGAGAGAAAATCAGTGTGAAGTTGCGGCTTCAAAAGGCATGTACTTTGCATTGATTGGTGAAAATAATACAAAAAATATACAATTATAAGTTATTATAATATACATACATACATAATGAATTATATAATAAAATCCATAGATATAATTATACAACTAGAAAAATATAATTATTTATATATATATATATATATATATATATTCATTCATCAAATCATTATGTATTTTATGTTAATTTTTAATATGGTTATTTATATTATACATCAAGTTTTTAATAAATTGACCCACTCATCTTAATCATCATGAATATATATATATATATATATATATAGTTTTATAATAATTTTTCTATTATTGGATTTGCAACCAATAAAACCAACCACATTCATCAAAATTACCATATTCTTCATCAAAGGTGGGTCTATTTAGTAAAAACATGGTTCTATTTAATATTCCTCTAAATTTATTATAGAATTATATTATGATAAAATCAATCCATCATAATAAATAGAAAAATGGTATTAATATATACATATATATACAATTATGTTATTTTGATTAAATTACTATTATGATATTGATTATTTAGATTTTACAACAATATTATTACTTAAACATAATTATTTTTATCTTCCTAACCTTAGTCAGTGGTGGTGAGGATTGGGGCCCACAACCCACAGCGGCAGGCTAAGCCCATCTTTGATGAGCTGGAGCGGGGCACAGAGCTAGGCAGGATTTAGGATTATTTTGGGTTGTTTTGGGTTTATTCCGATCATGGCCCTACACTTGCTGAATCTAAAGGACATGGAACTTTGATTCAACAATACATCCATACTTGTAGACAATCTTTTGAAAGTTTATGTAGGGATTCTTTTGGATTTGAATTTGTTGATGAAGCAAACAACCCAAAACAAAAATGAAGTATAGAGGTTGTAACTAAGTTGCTACCCATAGTGTCTACACATACTTTGTTTGTAGAACTTTCATACTAAGTATATAAAATTGAGCAAATAATATTGATGTACAACAAACAAATTATTTAAGCAATGATAATCAAGAATGAGAACAATGTAAGTAGGAGTGACAAATTAAACAAGTGAGATTTATTTCTCGACAAGAAAAGAAACTCTTTATGCACTTTTACATATAAAAATTGCCAATACTAAAAAATAATGTCCTGATATCACAAGGAATGATGTTCCATTGAGACGAATATATATTATAAGTGTCCCCTTACCACATCCCTTTCATAATATTAATTGATGTATAAAATTTTAAATGAGATGGCTAAATTAAAGAACCTGTGAATTCACAGAATATAAGATAAAGAGGAAAAATAAATAAATAAATAAATAAATATACACTACAAATATCTGAAAAATTAATAAAACCACACAATAAGTTCACTTAAAAGTACAGTTTTTTTTCTTTATTCTTTTTCAATGTTAACATCATTTCTCTCCTACACCTTACACTAGGCATATTATGTTAACTATTGAATGCATCTCATTTTTCACTAATTGTCACACGTCTTTTCTTAAGATGTATAAATCACAAAAAGAAAAACTAAATAACCAATTACAGGAGCAATGTTTAATGGTTCTCTTTGAATTGATTGCATTATTACATCAAATGAATAATACTGAGAATCAAAAAATAATTGCATTGTATGTATTTCAAAATTGCCGAAACTGGAGTCGCAAAAGCCGTAGACTAATGACGAATGAAATCCAAAGTAACAATGAACTTTCCAACTGAGTTTCCTGTGTCAGCTCCCATCGCAAACTAGACCAGACTCCTCATGCAAGCCTCTCCGAGGATGTAGAATACGTGTTCACTCAGATACCTCTTCTGCTTTCAGTTTCTGAACAAAATATCATTACAATGAGATTTCCTATATTAGGTTAAACCAAGATGAGTTTGACTGGTGCGAGCTATTATAATGACATACTGAATGACCTACTGAATGACCACGCAGATAGCGAATAAATGCTTTCCAATTTAGATCAGTAATTGGAAACACAATTGGAGTGGACGAATGTATCAACCCATAGAATTGGAATTACAGTGAAGTGTATGAGAAAGATTAATCTTACTTGAGATAGACTTATCCAGTTATCCAGCACAGTATTCGCTCTGCCTGATCGTAGCACATCGCGTGCCAGAGAAACACCCTCACCCAAATCCTTCACTAGTCCGCAGGCCATGATACCCGCTGCCGCATTCAAAATCTGAAACGAGTATAACTTAATATATATTCGTGCACGAATAATAATGACCAATGACTTACTGCTGCGGACCCAATTCTAAATTTCTCTTTTAGAACCTTGGATTTCAGCAATATCTTCTATTAGCGTGAGCTTATATAACTCAATACAGAACAAAACACATCCTACAGAATGTCCAAAAGTAGAAGATACCAGGTACTGTCATACATGAATCCACAGTTACCATTTCTTAAAAAGGTCAGCCTGACCCCGCTGAACCAGATGAAGCTCCCGCGACATCGTACCAAAGTTTACTCTTGCAAAAGAACGAAGTTACTCACCAATGAATCAGCTATAGGCCCCGGTTCTCCAGCGAAGACGTTCCTCAAGGACTTAGCATTGAAATCGGCGTTTCCACCTTTCAGGTCTTCAAGTGTGCACCTAGGTATCCCAAAGTTCACTACACAATAACACAATGTCCTTTCGTCAACAACATTTATTATCAATTGGCTGAATTCTAATAAACAACAAATTTTAGGATCAAAACTCAACTCACAACCTTCGGATTATGAGTCAACCAACCAGCAGGCGAACAACCAAAACCAAATACGACGTGGGTTCCGCAAAATTGCAAAAAGGTTACAAATCCACCGTGAGAACAGGGATAGGAAGCAGTACGAGGATCAAACACAAAGCTCTCAATCTTATCTTGTGTCACTTCCAGAACGCGTCCACCCCCTGTTCACATAAACAATAATGTATAGTAACATCATCTGCAAACAGCCTCTACTCGTTCTCGACCTCACTTGGTCATTTACAAGACAACGATATTGGACAGAATCTCAGAGATATACAAGAACACCTAGTAATCCACTTCTGCAGACGGACAGCACTGAGATACGAGGGATAACAACGGGGCATACGCTCCATCTTAAGAATCCAATTCAAATTGACCACTGAATCCTTCAAATTTTTCACACTGCACCCACTTGAGAAGCATAAAAGAGAATTCTACTATGTACGATGTATCTTGTATCAACAATGAATTGTACAACATGAAACGCGAGAATTTTGGAAACAAAGCCAAGTTTAGTTAATCAAAAACTTACCAAGCGGGCTCATCTCATCCAACCCATGGCAATGAACTACTAGTGTCCGCTTAGTGCCGAAATGTTGCAGAATCTTTGCCATTTTTTCCACCTACTTCATCAAGGAGGCGGCCCACAGATTAGGATTTATCCTATTTCAAAGGCATAACGCGATCAAGTTCAAGACGAAGGAAGAAGAAAAACAGCAAAATTTATCCCCATCGGTACAAAAACTGAAAAAAGTAAGAAACAGTCTTCTGAAATAAGTACACAGAAAAGTATGGAACGACTAACCAGATTATCATGATAAACACCAACAATGGAGTGAGGTGCACGAGAAGGATTGAGCATCGGACCAAGAATATTGAAAGCTGTCTTAATTTTAAGAGATCTACGAACAGGCGCCACAACTTTCATTGCTGGATGGTATGTTGGAGCAAACATAAACCCAACTCCAACGTCTTCTACACACTTTGCCACTCCCTATGTACCACATGCATGTCACAATAAGCATCCCCGAACTAGTAATTGCTTTTTAGCAGATGGTATAGCACAATAAATGTGCAGGAGTTTCTAGCACAAAACATTTAATTCAAATCCAGATTCAAATTCATTTAGTATGAACTGGAACAATCTATAAACGCGGATTGAAGTACTGACAAACAATCTAGGAAATAAATGAAACCACATTGTGCCAAAAGCTACTTGGCAAAGTTAGGTGAACATTGCAATGCGTCTTAAATGAGAGACGTGCACGCGAGATTTACCTCGGGCCCTAGATCGATAGCAACACCAAGAGTCTCGAGCACATCCGCACTTCCACAAGCTGACGAGCTCGACCGAGATCCGTGCTGCCACCATGAAGGGAGAATGTCAAAGTTCATGACCACATAGAATTTACAGCCATGTAATTCGTAACACGAGGAAGTACCTCAAAGTCCTTAGTCAACGTGAGAAAACATCGGCAAGACAAAAATCCTCCCATCGCAAAGAGGCTGTAGGCATATCAACCTTCGCAACTTTAGCTCCACAAGCTGCTGCCAGGATACAAGAACCTGTGGATATGTTTACGGTGTTCGCTCCATCCCCTCCCGTCCCCACGATATCCAAGGATCCTGGGACAGTTCGCACAGGTATTGCACGACTAAGCATCGCACTTGCAAGCCCTGTAACCTGCGTGCATGCCAGTTGTACTAAGATAACAACTCAATGTAGGACCTTACCCCTGCTTCAATATAAATGTATCACGAAATCGTTGAGGATGGTGTCGGCGGGAGAATTTACTTCATCTAAAGTTTCTCCCTTGGCTCGTAGCAGCGCCAGAAAAGCACCAATAATTGCAGGGTTGGCATCAGCAAGGAGAGTCTCCATCACCTCCTCTGTTTGAGCTTGGGTCAAGTTCGTCCCTTGAATGAGCTGCTCCAAGACCTGCAGATAATGCAACAGCTATCGGTAAGTACGCGCGTAGAATCCATGTCCACTTCTGCAGTAGTTGCCACATTCAAACGTTTCATCGTCCTTTTCTTACAATATTTTTGCACACTCACAGAGGAATCAGAGCCAATCTTCTTCTTTTTTTTTCTTTTTTTTTCTTTTTTTTCTTTTTTTTTTCTCTCAGATGATTCCAAGTGTCAAATGTCAATAGAAGGTGAATCGAACCCCAAATTCGAATCTCTGAGCCATGTTATACAGTGATACAAATTGTAGACTACTTCTACGAGACAAAGTTCTCATATGAGAAAAACTTAGTAATTTGACAAATTCAAAACATAAAAAAAATTCATCATCCTCTCAAAATGCCGGGTATTATCCGGAGGTTTGGCTATTTCAGTCTCAGCCAAGGCTAGATGAATGAGACATTGATAACCAGTTCCAAACGTGTGTCACTTAAAAGTACTCAGATGTAAGCAATGTAGCGCCTACATTAACGCGAAAGCGCCTAACCTGTCCCTGCGAAGCTTTTAAAAACCTAACAGGATGAAGCTCGAGCGTCTCAAAATCGACTGAAGAAAAAATCTACGTATGGATCCAAAGCGAAACATGTCCTATGTCACAGACTATCTTTTCTTTCAATCGTTGAATTGCGGTCCAACACAAATCCTTGAGCTCCGCGGAAAAAACGCCTAATGCCATGAACACAACAAGTGCGGTCTGTCTAATCCCAACCCTCCAATAAGACAACTAACCCCACCCGCAGAGAAACAAACATCCAGAGATCAAATCACACTAACGTACCTGCGGAATTGAGAGAGTACGAGCCGGGACGGTCACAGTGGACGACTGAGCCCTAACATTCCTCACTAGAACCTCCCATTTCCCGGACTCCACTGCAAATTTCCTCGGCACCCCAAGCACCCTAGGAGACGACGCTGGCGCAGTCGCAAAAGAGCCTCGAAAGGGCCCGACGCTGGAGCTAGGCAACCAAGTTCGCTGCGAAGCCAACGCGGCTGCCATGGCACCAAAACCCACGACGACTCTCACACCAGAAGATTGTGACAAAATCTAAAGCCCTGCCTTGCTCGCTGCAAAGTGGCGGCAATGCCGCCGTGGAATGTTAGCACCGGTGAGTTCAGGCAAACGCGTGCAGCAACGAATTGGTGCGTGGACGATGCAGTCTCGACCACTTCGGAGAATGGCTCCTCTCCCGCTCCGTTCTGGATCTGTCGGTCGCAACGCAGCAGCACCACCATCACCACCATAGCCATTGATGCTCGACCTGCCCCCGCCGGAATTCGTCCTTCTTCCGTCGGGTCTCCAACTTCGTTCGTTGCCAGCTTCTTCGTTCCATTAAGCCTCGGAGGCTCCGAGCAAGCTTGAGTGACACCCACACACTCATGCCTCATAGTTATTCGTGTCTTCTAATGTATATATATTATTTCTTGATGTCAAAAGATTATTCTTATCAGATCTATTTCATGGGATAATGAATTCAATCATGTTCATTGTTGGCACCCCTTCCGTACTTTAGTATGTGGAGATGATAAGTGGAATTATGCGATTTTATAACTCTAAGATTGAACACTACTCCTTCACGTTTGTATATACTACTAATGAAATTTTTATTTTTTGGATCACACAAAGTGTTTTTTAAAATTGTTTTATACATTTTGAAATCAAGCAAAGCAAAGGGGGTTCATGGGCACCAGGGCATAATCCACCTCCCCTCCACGCTCTCTCTCGCTCTCTGCCCTCACCTCGTAAGGGACAACCACGGAGGGCCTCTCCCATGGCACTTTCTCCTGCCTGCCTGCCTGCCTGCCTTTCGTTCTTTCGTTCCTCCTTTCTTCTTTGCATAATCCCCCCCCCCCCCCCCCTCCTTGTTGCAATCCTCCTCTTCACACCACCCACCCACTCCTCCTTCTGCTTCTTTTCCTCGCAATAATCTTTACAGCGGGGTTACTTCACATACAGCGTTGGAGTCAGGGCAAGGAGGCCAGCAGCAGCAGCAGCAGGCATGTTGATGGCTAATCGTGTTTGGAGGAGTTTCTCTACTGGAGAGTGGGAGGTGGTCGTCGTCTTTGCTCCGACCTTGGCATGCGCCACCATGAGCGTTGTCTCTTGGAATACTGGAGCTTGGTGTAAAGGTTTTGAACAGGGACGATGAGAGTGGCTATGGTGATAACTTGGTAAACAAGCTGCTGCTGCTGCTGTTGTCTGGAAAGGAGTTGCGACTCGGAGGTTGAGTGTTCGGCTGCGCGTTGCGATGGCGCGGGTCATGGTATCATTCTCGCTGACTTGTCTCTGACAGCCTGTGTAACCCAGTCTAGTCTTGTTCTTGCTTCTTGCGCATCCGCCTCGCCTCGCCTAACCTTGTAGGCTCCCCCCTATGGCTAGACCTAGCTCTTCCCCTTGTTCTCCTTCCTCTTCGTTGCATGACCTTCCCGATGACGTTCTGGCGCTCATCTCGGCTTGTATTCACTACCGTGATCTGCTGCACCTCAGCTTCACATGCAAGAAGCTGCACTCGCTATGCACCTCCTCGGACAAGCTCTGGATGCCTCACTGCCGTATGGCGATGCTGCAGTCGCTACCCTCGCAGAACTCACTGCCTCACTGGCGATCCTCAGTCGAGTCGGCTAAGGCCCTACTGCGGTTCTTAATTGCTGTGAAACCCTTGATGGGCATTTGGGTGCATCAGAATCCGGAGCTAGGCAATTTGGTGTATGTCACTTGGGGGTTCGTTTCTATTGTCGCATGTCGTATTATTCCGCAGGAGCTCGGGCCTCGGGGCTTCGACACGGGCCTCCTCTGGGCTCCAGTTTTCGAAATCCTGGCCAATCGCGACGGCACATTGGTCTTCTTTCTTCACGGCCGTGAGAGAGATCAGAATTTTCTTTATCCTGGTCGCTTCATGGCAGCCAACCAGGAGCCCAATGTGTTGGTGCTGGAAGCAGAGCCACTGCTCAATTCTACTCACCAATTACGTGAGCTTTCGTCACTTGATTCCGGTGGAGAGGATTCCGGTGAAGAGGAACAAGTGATGGTCAAGCGCAAAGGGTCCAAGGGCAAGAAGAAAGCTTCTGTTGCTGCGGATCCAGTACCCTTCCATCGCCTGGCATTTGGCGATAGGAGACGGTTATTGGAAGAATTAGCTCCACAAGTTCGTTTGCCGGTGCCTCCGCAGGCCGCATATGGACCTCTGTTTTTTTCACCCCGAGAAAGGAAGCCCTCACTGGCCAGCAACGACAGCTTTCAACTCGAGAATGCTTTTATGGCTGAGAGGAGGGATGCAATTTTGAGCGCTTATGCTAATTCGATTGAACCAGGCTCGCCTTACAGGGGTGTCGATTCTGTGGCTCTCGTGAGGAGTATGTGTGCTGCGGCTGAAAGTCTGGATGCCATAGCCAAGAGATCATCAGCGAGCGATAAACCTGTTCCTACGGTACATAACCGAGGGAATGTGAAATGTGCTTCTCCCTCATCTGAAGCTCAAACTGATGGATCGTCCAAGCGGATTGGGTTTGCCCAATTTGTGCGAAGCAAGCTTCAACAAATTGTTGGCAAGAGTACAGCCCAGGACTCTCCCAAGACAAATCCGCTCAGTACTACGGAAATTAAGAGGCTGCAGTTTGAAGAGTTTTTGAAGCAAGGGAAGGCCGTTGGCTTACGATTGCAAGCTACGACTTGGAGGTTAAGTTTCTACCGCGCCTGGCCGATAATGTACGACAATCGGTTTGCTCTGTACAAAATTCCGGAGCAGAAGCGAGTAGAAGGACGAGAGCATGCGGGACTTTGGGGTGGGACGTTTGGGTGGCCTCCTGGTCGTCCAGCTCATGCGAAACCAGGATCACCTTTGTTCTTTCTGCTTCTTTCTTATGATGAAAACGAGGAGGGTCTGCACTTGATAGCCACCAAGGTTCTTGAAGGCACACATTATGTGTTGCATCCTAATGGATCTGCTATGTTCACGGCAAAGATTAACGAACCCTCTTCTGAGGAGTTCCCATTTGACATCAATTCCGAAGGGTCTGTTCTTGATATTGTGCAGACCTGGCAGGGAGAGGGTATTGCCAACGGCTATGGATTCCGCTACCCAGGATCAAAGCCTGGTGATTTGTTTGAATTTCGCACTGGGGAATTAGCGTTTGTATGGAGAGAGTCGCGAACTGTCTTATCCTTGCAAAGGATAGATCTCCAAAGTCTTCTGGAGAAAGGGGAGAAAGTGGCAGCTCTTCCACCTATCTCCAACTTTGCATACCTCACCAAATCATACTCGAATGTGTTTGCGGGCTATTGTGGACCCGTGGCGACTGCTGGTAGGAAACAAGTTGAACAAATGTTAAAAGATATTCAAGACATCCAAAGTAAAAAGGTCTAAGATATTCAACGGAAGTACTGAGAATGTGTATCTCTTAGTTGGGATCAACCACAAGTGCTTCAGGAATGTGAGTATGCCTGATGAGAAATGCAGTAGGCTGATGATGAAGTAGCGGAGGATTGATGTAGCAGGATTTTCGAGGGCAGGAAATCACATAACGGTAAGCTTCCGAGTTTGAATCTCTCTGTTAGACTTGCCACCCAGATTGTCATCACTATCTTTCTTCCAGTTATGTTTCCTTTTCTGATCACCTTCCATTGTGGAATGTGTAGCATTAAGGAAGGATCTTCAGTGGTCTATGCCATGTATTTCTTGAGTCAAGTTCTCGATTATTGATAGACGTGGTTTCAACTCTTAGACAAATGACAGATTGCAGCTTTGGCCACCGGAATAAAGCCATTAAGGTGGAAGTACACGCTAACGTGTTTAGGGTCTAGTTTGTGGTTCACTTGTGCAAAAGCAGGGGTTGTCGGGTTTGCTTTAATCAATTTTGCTTCAGGGATTGCAAAAGACTTTGAATCAAAAGTAACGAAGTTAGTGTGATTGGATTGGTTCTCGATGTATTGACAGGATGCCGCACAAGAAAGACAAAAGGCGCTTGGGCATGCTGCGTGTGAGATTGGAGCCTGTGTTGTCGAAAATTTTGGTATGTACCATAGTTGATGTAATATACTGGCTTTTTACAACCAGCTTTTAAAATCAAAAATCAGAATTGTAGTATTAGTCTTTATCACCTCCGTGGAAGAAGTGGAAGACAGAGAGCTGGGTGCTGTGCCTCACAACACGAAGAACCTGGGGGGGGGGGGGGGGGGTCATGTGGTCATCGATGAGAACACCCTTGTAGATTTCAGTAGCTTGGACGAAGTATTGTGCTGGATTTAGGGTCAGAGGTTTGGACTGCAAAATCTAGTGCAACGATGGGACCACCACATCGAGAGTTTCATGAAGCGTGTTAGGGCAACATGCCATTTGGAGTTGTGACTAATTTCTGCGAAGACTGTGTAATCCAGTGGAAGCCAAGTGCTTCTCATTCAGCAATAACCAGCGCCAAGCACTGCGTCGATGCAGCCATATACCTGGCGAAGCACAGCAACTGACCGGTTTGGGTCTGTGAGTTTCTTTGTTTATGATCAGGTTTGGGACAGCTCCAGAATTCATGGTAGCAGATAAACCTCGGCCCTAGTTCTGCAATCAGATGTGCAGCTGGCTGATTGTTTGGCACAAGCGTCATCGTCCCAAACCACCTGGAAGATTTAGTCTTGTCATCATAAGGTTCATTAAGTCAATTTGGATCTTTGTGCCGGCAATGGATATGCTTCGGTTCATGCTCTCCATGCAGAGGTTTCAGTCCACGACTTGCGAAGTCGTGGCTCCTGGTATAGATATATGTCATATGACATATTTGTATATGACATATAATACATGCCTTTATATGTCACTTTGTATTTTATCCTTATCCATCCTTTCCTTTTTCTAATGTATGATTCCAAAACTTGCTAAATCAAGAATATAAAACATCGCACGCAATCGGAAAAACTACCGCTCATATCTAAGTTGGGCTGCAGCCTCGTTTAGGTTGGTACAACTAAACTAATCTTATTTTGATACCCGGTTGTATTTTTTCGTATCATAATAATGATTCCATTAAAGGAAAACGTGTTGATCAGTACTGTTTCATAGTCTTGCTTCTTTGTTAGTCACCTCAAAGAACCACCACAAGAATGGCTACTATTCTCATAGTCTGTAAAGAATCAAAAACCAAGAACAAACCAAAGTACAATACCAGAACATTGAACTTTCTTTTCTTTTTCCTTAAAAGGCCAAAAACATCCATATGGTGCACCTGGGAATTTCCACCAATCTGGGTTACATCAACCAATCCATGACAGAAAAGTCAATCCTTCCAGAAGCTCCAGCCAACGAGGTGACTAACAAAGAAGCAAGACCATGGAACAGGTGGCTTGAGTGTGACGGACTAGGCAGCAGGAGCAGCATTGAGACTATCCAGTTGCGGCAGAATGAGGAACTCCCATCTACCACAAGCACCAGTGCCGCCGCCTTAGGTTGCGTGCGTGCGTGCATACGTGCGAATGGGCGGATGTGGACGCACCCAAGTCTAGATTTGCAGCATCTTCTCAAGAGGTGCTGGATCGAAACATGACTAGTCTAGTGGAAGCTCATTCAAGACGAGTAAATCCAGAGCTCACGAAACACAGTATCTGTGCGACAGTGGGCACGAATCCCATTCCAGACACGGGATCCAGACATGCTTGCACCAGCGAGCTATGGAATGAATGAATGCACGCAGGCACTGTTGAATTAATTCCATGTGTGTGTGCGTGTGTGTGTTTTGTGCTGGTTTTTTGTGGAAGGTGATGTTGTTGCAGCTTCCGCCCTCCGCACTGAGTTGTGAAGGGTCCCTGTGCCATTTCGGCACATCAATGTGCACCTGATGATCTGCACACACACAATAGTAATATGGAGAAGTAATTTTTTTACAGAAATTTGAAAAGCTATGATAGAAATTGATGAGAATGGCAATATTTAAAAAAAGAAAAGAAAAAAAGTGAATATTTGGAAAAAAAATTGCAAGAATTGGTAGAATTAAAAATGAAGTTGTCGTATTTTAAATTATAATAAACAAAAGATTTGATCAATTTCATAGATTGTATTTATTTTATATTGTCTTCAAAAGCTGAAGCTTCCAAAAGATATTTTCTCTTCACCAAGCAAAAGCCCTTTATAAGACTTTTGGAACATGACCCCTTTAATTTTTCTACACCACTTGTGTTCTTGTCTAAGTTCAAAGCTAATAGAATCAAAATACTTGAAAATAAAACAATAAATTGATTGTTTATTGCCTTTTTTTCTTTATTTTGAATGCTACAGATGATGTAACATAAAAAAACATGTTGGTATCATTTTTATCATGGATAGTGTGCTTTGTAACAAGATTGATAATGCTTTGGACCTTGTGAATACAAATAATTGTGGATTATGAAAAGATTGTAAATTTTATGATAAAGTTGTTGAAAACTTGTAACAAAATTGCATAAAGAATATTCTAAATTTAGATGGAAGTGGAAACTTTTAGTTCTTACAATTATGATTATCCTTTAATTCTTATTATTATATAAATTTTTATAAAATATCTATTATATTGATATTTAGTCAATAAAAATTTAATCTACATATATTAAAAGAATATATCAGTAAAAATATAATTAGATTTTATATTTTAAATACCCTAATATATATATATATATATATATATATATATATATATATATTTCCTATTATGAAGTATATCATAAAAGAGGTATTGAACATATTATTAAAATAGAAAAAACTAACAAACAAAAATCTATAACAAACAACATATGGTTATTCCTTAATATGTTAAATATAGATAAAGTTAGTTGATAGTTCACATGTTATTTTATTAAGATATAATACAATATAAAAAATAGTCAAATTGATGTAAACCAATATATTTTTATTAAGCATTGGTTATTTTAATATGATGAAGAAATACAACTATAATTAGAAATAAATAATTATTAAAAAATATACAAAACAATAGGGCATACATTAATCCAACCAATCTTTTGTCATTAAAATTACCTTAACAATAATGAAACTTCGTTTCCTTGTAACATGATATAATATTTCTCAAAGAAAAAATACATATTATTCTTTATTGATGTTAATATGTTCTAAGAAGAAAGAGTTTTAAATAATAGAGTCCACTTTCAATCTAATTCATCCCACACAACCAACTCAATTGCACTATATTATTATCTACCAAACAAAAATCCCTACTCACAAGTCAACTTTTCTAATACATGTTAATCAGAAAATAAAAAGTATCAATGAAGGAATAAAAACTGTCAGACTCCTGCTCACTGTGCCAAATTTAATGTGTCCAAGCCTACATCTAACAAACCTCCCACCAAACAAGCAATGAATAAATAAATTCGCAATGAATATGCATGAGGTAATGTTTTGTTGCAGATCATACCATAATTCAGAATTGTCTATACTCTGGCTTGGTGGAGCTGCCCTTAAGAAGACCAGACTTCAAAGGACTGGCAAATAGACAGAATTATTTTGCACAAACTGGTGTTATTTATTTGCAGGCCCATGGTCGTCATTTTGTTCACCATAAGTTGATCTGATTGGGGGACTCATGTTCAAAACTTCGAATGCTATCCTCTTCACCAGCCGCTTCATCCTCTCGTAGGCAGAGTTTTATGATCCTGCTTTGCATCAAAGGTTGGAGATTCTGATGACATCCATGCTGATGGCATCGAAATGCTAGCAGGGTCTATTCTGCGAGAGCCAAGTGGACTGCCCTCAGTGAGCTTATTATTGGAAGGTTCAACTCTACCCAGATTTCATTAGACTGACCGTAAAGCCTGTTACAGTCTATGTGAGCTATGGAGGGAGAAACAACAGAAGAAGTAAAAATCCCCGCAGATTACCCCCGGAAGCTACCCAGAGTCTCCACGAACAATGAGGTCGCAGATCTGCTGGTGCCCAAAGGAGTCGGTAATCTACTGCTCCCTCATCGCTGAGAGGTCCTCTTGTCAGCATTGCATCTCTACGCAATTGATCTAGATCTGGCCACAACTAACACTTCCCATAGACTACGTGGTGCGCCTTTATCTCGATGATGTCGTCCAGCATGCTGGCAGATCAGATGAGGGCATGGATATGTACTTTTTTTCGAGCAGTTAAGGTCTAAAGGATTAGATCTTGATCGAAAATTAATACTCGAATGCGGTTCCTGGAGAGTGAACATCAACAAGGCTGACCGAGAAGCGGAAAACCTGTGGACTATAAAAAATAAATAACACCAGTTTCTGTTTTCCGGCTGCTTGTGTGATAATCACATTAATGGCGTCCATTGGCGGTTCTATTAAAAAACCTTACGTAGACGTCTCGGTGTCCGAACAGTTGTCATTCTGTTCACTGTGACACGCACCTGCCGTTCCGCACCTGTTAGGCCTATTTTGTTGTTGTTAATTTGATGCACCTGCATGCATGTAGACTTCTTTACAAGCCTCTTATCTCGACAATGCAGGATGCTCGAATCTTCCAACAAGGGTATTCGCTCAGTAGTGTGGTGTCTTTCTAGCTCTTCATTTCCACGTTATCCTTCCTCTTGCTCTTCACAGATCGTGTGTTTTTGACAGGTTTCGATATCAACATGAGAAGATTCGATGACCCAAAAACTGACAGTCCTATGCATTTCCGGAGTCTGTTTCACTGCTGGAACTATCATGAATACTTGGCAACAAAACTAAGTACTAATTTGATTCTGAGAGTTTACAGTGACCTTGTTGAGGTTGTATTAAATTCTATGAATTAGGCTTTTTTGTACGGATGAATCGCACTACCTGTACTCTGTACTGGAGTTTGTACTTCATAATTTTCTTCTTGTTTTTGTCCGTATGGGGATGATTTGAAAGAGGATTTAGTTTTCTGCATTGAAGTAAAAAACGATGTTGGGAAGCGATTTGCTGTTCAAGAATAGTGTTGGTGTACGAATACTTTGTGCCATTCCAAACCTTGTCAAGGAATCGTATCAGTCAGTTTGTGGATTTTGTATACTGTGTCAAAGATACTGCGTTGTAGTTTAGAAAGTTGAATTCTTAAGAACTTGATGTATGACTTAAAAACAAAAAAACTTGTCGTTCTGAACACCGTTTTTAGTTATTGAATATATATATATATATATATATATGTGTGTGTGTGTGTACTGATATACATGATACATGTAAATATAATCAACTCTAAAATTGATTAATGATCACATAACAAAAATAGATATTATTACAATCATATCGATTTGTCTATGTATAGATAATATAATATTTTTTATGAAAAATTTAATTATAGCTTAATGCAATCTATGCTAAATGATAATGGCTTTTATAAAGTTGGATGTACATTTCTGTTATTTTTTTTTATTATTTTTAAATTTAAGACAATGTTAAAATAACAACGTATTAAAAGTAAGTTCAATTGAATAATATATTGATTAGATAATCAAACGAATAGATTTTTGTAATGCAAAAAATAGCTTGTATAAACAATATAGTATGAATTTTGAGTGTAATCAGATTTATTTCAACTTTTTATAAGAAATTATTCTTAAACTAAAATAAAATGGCACAAATATTTTATTACCTCTAAGGCTCTTTGGAATGAAGAAAGTGGGACCTTAACTTAAAAACTTGTAAAATTGGTAACAAGTTCCTAATAATATTTCTAAACATAGCAACTTAAAGATTTTGGAGGAAGATACTAAAATATTTAAAAGGATGAACCAAAGCTTCTTAAATTTTTAAGAAGATTAAAATATATATATATATATATATATATATATATATATATAAAATAAAATAAAGTATATTTGAAAATTATATGATTTAATATATTATAAAAATA